TTCTAGAATTTTGCTAATTTTCACTTTTGAATTGCCGCCTATATGGAGACCAATTAGACATTTTACGAAATTTAAAATTTTATTAAAAAAAAACTATCCAAAATAATCTAAAAAAAATTTCTTGAGAATTAGATTATCGCATCTAAAAATCTCATAATATGTTAATATGTCAAATTTTTTTCTATACAAAAATGATCGGAATTTGTTTTTTTATTATTATTTGAGCTAGAAATCTAAAATTTTATATTTAAGTACATGAATACCTAGAATCAAAATAATATAAATTTTTTGTGCAATTATTATGTACGCTTTTGCGCAATTCATCAATTTAGGATGACCGAAACTTTTGGGTAGGTAGTGTATATATTGTAGTAGCATCAGGAGATTAATTTTAGTGTAGACCTGCGTAAACCTACACAATATAAAAATGCAATTTTTACTACATTTCGAAAATTTATGCTAATGAAAACTTTACATTTGAATTATCAATTCATTGTAAATAATTGTGCAAGTATTTTATAATATTGAATAATAATAAAGTAAATGAAAATTTACCAAAGGTATTGTGCAAGCTTTTTATAATATTTTTGCGATATTAATGGATTTAATGGATCAAATTACTTTATTATAGGCCACCTTTTGTTCTTTTAAATTTACGAAAATGTAAAAACCTAATGTATATATATATCACAAATAATGGTTATATAACTCTCACCATGCATTTCATCCGACCTAAAATTATTTTCAATTGAAAGAAGCTGTTCCTATGACAAGTCCTTCAATTTCGGATCTTTCACAGTAAGATATAAATTTAAGGGTTATCGTTATGCGAAAATAATTAATGGCTATATATAAATTATGCAATCCTCGCCATGCGTTTACTTCTTCAAGTCGATTTCAATTGAAAAAGACTACTCCTATGACAAGTCCTTCAATTTTTGGTCAATTTAAAATTGCACACTAAGATAGAAACCTAAGATTTAGCATTGTAAAAGAACAATTAATGGCCATATATAAATAAAGCATACAACCCTCGCCATACATTTACTTCACTTGATTATTCCGTTTGGTCGTTTTTTGTTCCAACCTTCCCTACTATATTTTTCTTAAATGATTAAAAAACAAGTATAATAACTTTCATAAAAAATAAATATATAATCTGTAATCAATAGAATAATTAAAAAAAAAATTTAAATACAACGAATGAATGATATATACAAAATAAATGTCTTGGTATTTAACCTGCCATTTACCCTCAATATAAATATGTTCCATTCTTTAATTTTCGCCCAAAGTTGCGATTTAAATAATTAGGTTTCTGTTTAGAAAATCCTTTGCTGATTTTTTTAATATTATCACATGAAAAATAAACCCTTTGGAATGGCCGTTTGTTGACAGAGTACACCATTATAATGACAAGTAAAAGGTCGATTTTTATGCTCGATAATAATAATGATGAAATTCCTGACGTAATCAAAACATTGACTAAATGTAGCCAGTTCCTCATAACAATAATAATAATAATAATAATTCCAAAATAGTTTCTTTGCTTGAAATTAAAGTTGATGACAAAAAATCTACGGGTGTTACGTTACACAGTGCTGATTCTAGTAATAGTAATAGTAATACGTAGTGATAGTAATAGTAATAGTGATAGTAGTTACTAAATTTGTACTAATTTGCGGTTGATAAATCATCAAATTTTTTTAAAAATAACAATATAAAGTATTATTATTATTATTATTTTTAGAACAATTATAGTTTTGGCATGTGTTTTAGGTTTCGGTAACACTAGGTTTCAACAGTTTAGGTTTCGGGAAAGGTCAAAATTTTTAAAATTTTCCCTAAACTAGTACTAGTTTCGGATAGCTTCGGTCTCGGGCTTTTCCCTAAGCCTAGGGCTTTGGACCACACAAACATTAGTTCCTTATTATTACCCTCATTGAAAGACTCTATAATAATAATAATCACTTTTCTAAACCAAGATCATGTGCTACTGAAATTATCAAAATTCGAAACTTTGTAGATATATATATATAATAATAATAATAATATAATAAAATCCAGAATTTTCTACTTGAAATTGTTAAATATAGCTTTGGCAAGGATTTTATTTTAGTCGACGTTTTTCCCATAAAAAGTCAAGAGTTTAATCACTCGTCACTTTTTAGTGAATTTGGCATAATTAGTTTTGCAACATTGAAGGCATTTCGTCAACAACATTATCATTGCGATATAAATTATTTAACTTAATATAATCATAAGATATTGATTCGATTGTCTTTTCATCTAATCGATTAGAATATTTCTTACTATCACAAATCGGTTTTAAAGTTAATTTCCTTATTATGTATTATATACAGTATATTGCTATAGATAGACGCATTCTCTCTTTCTTTTTTTTCCGAAATATTTAACTTTAGTAAATGGCAAGCACATCAATTATAAAACATTAGATGTAAAGCTAAGAATAACAATAATAATATTTTAATCAGATTAAATTAATGCAGACGCAACTATTGCATACCTACAGCTTGATTATTGCTCCAAAATAAGCGAATTTTCAACTGAATGAACCCAATTTTGTCATAAATGCAATCGATTACTAATGGCACATAAAAAAGTTGAATTTTAAATTATTCATTATTTATATAATATTTTATAATAATAGTAATTGATTGAATTGTCAAACATAATAAATAAATACGATAATAGTAGTAGTCCGTTAGTAATACAATTTTTGAAAAAATCATTACTCAATTCAACTTTTACCGCACACAAAAAGAAATGCACGATCTTTTCTGTGAAAAGTGCCTTTCACGTATATAAAAATTCCGGATCGAACACATGTTGGAAACATGCAGAAAATGCATTGAATTTACTGAAAATATATAAATTCCATACGTACCCAGTTTATATTCAGCATATGAACAGATTCTTATAGAGAAGGTGGAAGTTACCAAAAAAGATATATTAATGAGGCAATGGCTAGATTTATTTATTTCCCAAATCATTCATTCCATTCATTAAAAAGGTTATTTACTTATTTATTTAGTAATTCTATTCTATTATTATAGTTGATATGGATCTCATGGTCTTTGTTGACCGACGGGACAGAAAGACTTGAGTTTCTTATTTAAAAGATGGAATTGCAAATTTTTTTGACCAGATAGACCATTTTGGATTTGGGATAATTATGTTACACACAATAAAAAATTTTCGCCATTTATAATCTTTATATAGTAATAGTAATAAAAAAATTGAATTGGAATTCTAATTACTTGCAAGATAGTATCGTAATTGGACTACTTTAATATAAAAAAAAGAGATTTAGTTTTTTTGATGTGTTAAATTGACGTAATGGTAGTAGTAATTGATTTTAATTTAATATTAATATATATATACACATCTAAACTCTATAAGCCGGACGCAGCAATCAATTGTTTAAAGTACTTTATAATATAAATAAATCGAGTTTAGATGTGTATATATTAATATACATTTTATTAATTAAAAGCAATGACTCTAATATAATAATAACATTTCTTATTATAATATTTATCGCAATTATATTAATAATTATTAGCGCTTTTCTCCAATATAATGTTAAAAATCAAAGCAGAAAATGATGTAGATTCCCATCAATCTCATCGAATCGAATAATCTTAAATATAAAAATCCAATCAATCAATCAATAATACATCATTGTACAATCACAGATATTTTTACAATGTAATTTTTAATTAAACAACCACCCTTCAATTTTTCTAGTCAACCTTAATGAAATGCCTATTTTGTTTATTTGATTCCTCCTTGATGATGATGGTCTAATCATCAGCAAATTTGACAACATGGTAACACACGGACGGCCCAGCCTAACAAATAAATAATTGTGCGAGTGAGAAATTTTTGCCATTAACTTAAATTTTTTAAAGTATGTATGTGTAACCATCATCGTGATAACGTACATAAGAAAAAAAAAATTTTTTTTTTCTTGATAAATAATTTGAGCCATTTTTGCCAAGAATAACAGAGTAACATTTTACCAAGATCTCAGGGTGGAAAACCAAACGTAATGAAAACAAATGAAAAAATATTTAAAAGTCAAAAACACTTATATTTTATGATTGTGGATATTGTGAATTAGTATTAATCGAGATATTATTATTGAACGATGATTTCGAAAATATAAATAATAATAATAATAAATAATAATAATAAACAACGACATATATATAATGAATGATAAAACAGAAAAAAGAAGGAAAGGCTAGACCCTCTTTCTCAGCTTTTTGAATGAAACACAACGTAAATTTTGAAAATAATAAAAATAATAATAATAACAATCGAGGGCCTGGAACAATCTAATGGCAAAATCGTATTGAGGCAATACTTGGAAAGAAAATGCGAGATAAATTATTAAACAAAGCTGTAGAGTAACGATAAACAAATAAAATGCATTAAGCAAAATTGGCTCAGTCCTAATCATATCTTTTTACCTGATATGGATAATATAATACTCCATAATTATAATAATTATAGAATTATATGATTTGCTTTGCATTTTTAACATACCACCAATATACTACTACAACTTAATCTTAGTTATTTCATATATTGATCTTATAAAACTCCGAAAAAATTCTTTGGTATAATCACCCAACAACAAACATCATCAACATAACAATGTAATGGTAATTAATTAATTAATTTTTTTATTCTGGACCTATTACGAAATATGTATTCTATTGTAATAAAAAATATTACATATATAGTAGTAATCTGTTTGGATTTTTCCCCTTTTCATAAGTTCTTCCATCTTTCGCTTTCATTCAATTAATTAAATTTCATTCTGGAAATAAAATAAAAATTTTATTATTTATTATTATATTACATTTTTATATTCTCTCTAAATTTTTTCCAATTAAATTTTTACTCTTTTACTCTTGCGACTCTCGTAATTTTCTTGTGATAATTAATTAGCAGACAAAAATTAAATTATGAATTTAAACACGATTTGTAATAAAAATTCAAGCATCGAAGAAACAGTCACAAGCTCTCCTTCTTCTTTGCCGTCAACTCAAAGAAAATTATTACCAGCAATAAACACAATGGCAACATCTCTCAATAATACCAACAGCACCCACTCAGCTGCTACTACTACTACTACTTCCGACACTTCTAATTCTTTACAAAAAACAACAACGGTTACAAACAAATTAATTAATCATCATCAAGAAGAATGTCTTCCCTCTCCACCGTAAGTGTTTTTCTAAAAAAAATTTTTTTTAATTTATAAAGAACAACAACAACAACAACCAACAACAACAATGATGATGATGATGATGATGATAACAATAATAAATTTTTTATTTTTCGAAATTTATAGAATTTCAGAGCCCACAAATGAAGCATCATCGCTTCCTTCATTAACTCACCTATTAATATCTTCACCACCGCCACCACGATCTTCTTCTTCTACACTTTCTCAAAAGCCGCCTTCATCACCACAACTACCACAGCCACGATCACAATCGCAAGAACTTGTGCAATTATTACCACATCATGTTCATGTTCATGATCATGCTTCATCTGGTAATGGGATTAACGGTTATAAACCATCAAATGATTATCATCATCGTCATCATCCAATTAGTAATGGGGTTATGAACAAGGATAATAATAATTCTGTTATTAATCATCACCATCATCATCATCACCATCATAATCCATCTTCTAATAACTATATACCACCAAATAATCCAACAGTGGCCAGTGGTTCAAATAATGGTTTTAATAATAATCATAATAATCATGATAATAACTATAATTATTCTAATCACCCACAACAATACGAACAACAAATAATTCATCCCTATCATAATCGTCAAGATAATAACACTCATAATAGTAATAATTATTATTATCAACAACAGCCTTCTGAATCTTATAATCAATATCATCATCAAAATCACCAGCAATCAAGGCAACCATATCAAGCATATCAACATCATCAACAGCAACAAATACAATCTAAATCTCCTTCTCTACCACATAGCACTTCTTCACAACATCAGCCACATTTATTAGAACAACAACCATTAAACTATGATTCTAATTATTATTTAAATTCTGCAGGACAATCAATCTTTAAATTGGGAAAGGTAAATTTATTTATTTACTTATTTATTTATTTATTTATTTATTTTATTTGATGGTTTAATTAAAAGAAAATTTTCAATTAAAATATTTTTAATTAAAATCAAAAAAAAAAAAAAAAAAAAGGTGGTAGATCATTGTAACCAGATCGCTCAATTTGCTGCACAAAATCGTGAAGCTAGGATAAATTACGATCATCGTAATAATAGTAATAATAGTATACCAGTCGATGAAAATCATTTGACTTTTATGATTAATAGAACAATCGATATTTTAAATATTTTAAATGGTTTAAAAGGCGAGTTTAACCAGGCTAGAAACGAGGTAAATATCTCTTCTCTAACATAATTAAATATATAATATACAATAAAATCATTTATTTGATTCATTTATTATTGAATTCTTTAGTATGAAAACGATAGTGAATTGATGCGTAAACAAAAAGCTATCATAACTGATGGAAATGTTTCACAATCATCTCGTTTAAAATATAGAAAAAGAAATGTATGTGTATATATTAATAATAACTATGATTATAATATTATGATTATAAATAATAATTCATTAATTCATTATTTGATCAGAAGCGAGCAGCTCCGCCTGGTAGATGTCATTCTTGTGACATTTCTGAAACACCCGAATGGCGTAGGGGTCCTGATGGTGCAAGAACATTATGTAATGCTTGTGGTTTACGTATGTGTTTTTTATATTTTTTATATCTTATTGAAAAATAAAATTTTCAAGTTTTAATTAATAAATTATATTAAATATAATATATATATATATATATATATATACATATGAATAGATTTTGCAAAACTCTCAAAGAAGAAAAAATTAGCCGCTATGCGAGAACAAGAAGCTGCTGCTACAACAACAACAACAACAACAACAACAACAACATCATCATCATCATCAACATCATCACCATCAGGATCATCAATAACATCAATAACAGATAAATTAAATAATGAGACAACAACAACTACAACGAACTCAAAAATTAATGAAAATATTAATAATAATAGCAATAATAATAATCAGTCTACCATAGGAAAAGACAATAGTACTAGTAATAGTAGTGATGATATTAGTGATGATAGTGATGATAATCCTGCAAAAAGAATGAAATACAATAATATTAAAAATGAACATGACAAAATTATAAATTGATATTTTGGAAAATACCACTTTAATAAATTCGATTGGATTCTTTTTATTTGAACAATTGAAGTTTTTTTTTTAAAAAAAATTAAAGATATATTTTTAGCAAGTCAATTCAATTGAATATAGAGCAACTAATTATTCTTATTCTTAAGATCTACTTACTACTATAGAATAATACGATATGCAAAAAATGCATTTTATATATATATATATAGTTATAAATTTTTGTAAATTTTTTATTTATTTTTATCCTTATTTTGAGATAAAGATTGGTATTTTTTTGGGAACACACATAATACACATACATACATATATACATACATACATAATAATATATAGATAAATAAAACCGCACATTCACACTAATCAAAAAACATATATAACAAACGCATATGTTTGTTATTTTCAAAAGACCTATCTCTCTCTCTCAAGAGTAACATGAATTTTATATCTAATTAGTAAAACAGATAATGAAATCAATTGGTTGGGTTGTTGATTATATTACCATTTAACCAATAATATGGTAATAAATATCAGCTTGACTATTTCTTTTCTCTCTCCACGGAGACGACTGGGGAATTAATGTTCATGGATACTAACTAGTGTTCTCGCCAACCATTTTTAGGTTGCTTGCTGCAATAATGACCTCCGTTTCTATCTTGCTTGATGATGATAAATGTTTTTGTACGTCATCAATTTTAACCAAATATTTACATATTAATTATGCAGAGAATATTTTTTTTGTAACAAAAAATGTTTTTTAACTGTAATAGTAATAGCAATAAATTTCATACAACATTAATTCGTCGACTGTGCGTTTTTTAAGTAAAAAATGTTTTTTACTAATAAAGATTACTTTTTTTTCAAATTATAAATTTATATATACTACCCATTCGAGGACGTCGAAAATCATGATTCTGAGTTAATACCACCCTTAATATGTAATCATTTAGGTAAGACCACACCACCTCGCATAATAAAGTTTCCTCATTTCTACTGAAAGGCCCCCATATATTATTACAATTAAAAAGTAATAATCAATAAATCATTCATTCATTTTTTAGATAAAGGTCGGATTGAACTGATTATTTAATGGTCTTGAGACCACGGTTCTAAGACTATAGTCCAGACTGAAGTTTAAGACTGATGGTCCGGCCCTTCCAAAGTATGGATTGACATATTAGTGTATCATTTGATTGAAAAGAAAAAAAAATAACTTCGACATGCTAGGTAGACAGGCGTCTTTTTGTATAATCCAACTATTCCAAGTCACATAAATTCCAGCATGTTGCAACTGGAAAAGGAGTTTTACACGGAAATTAAATTCCATGGCAACGTAAACGATTTAAATATCTGTGTTGTCTTGCTGGACTGCGGACAAAAAATCTTTTAATTATTGCCAAAAAATCTTTCTAATAAACCAAACTTCTCCATATTTCACTATAAAACTTGTAATTTTATTCGGAATGAATCCACCTTGTTTTATATGCTTATTAAAGAAAGAAGGAAAGAAGAGAAAATTTGCCTTTTTTAAAGGTGCATCAATCAGCACAAGCAAAGGCTAATCTTAAATATTCAACTAATAAAGTTATCTATTAAATTTATATACAAGTTATTTAGAATAAGGTGACGTTTTGAAGGAATTCGAGTTGTTTGGTAAGATTAGAAGAGTATAATTTTATTTTTAGATTGATGTGATGACTTTAGTCATCGATATAACTAAAGTATTGACTAAGTTAGTTTCTCATCAAGGCCATTTGATGTAAAAACACTTTACAAAAATACAAGTGGTCAATTTTTATGTTTGCTTTTGCAATTTATTGTGTCTAACGATATAGATGGGTGTCTAAAATATAAATTATTTTAGACATTTAGACAATCATGTCTAAAATGCTGAAGTTGAATAATTTACTGAACCTTGTGTGTATATACACGTGACTTTTAGTTGTATTTAAAACAAATCATTACTATTTATATTAATTTAGACATTTAGACATCATACAATATAAACATGACCTGCAAGCAGATTAATCGGCTACTAGTCATTATCATTAATACATTTAATGGTATAACATTCACCTACAGCAGATATACAAGTCCACTAGTGTTGTCAACAAATAACATATATGGAAATTATTTTATTAAGCATACTCAGCATTATCTCTTAAACAGTCAGAGTATTCTTTAATAACACAAATTAAAGTTTTGATCATTCTTATTGATCAATTTAACGATCAGCAAAGTAAAAACAGTCAATCGACCAACTTTTAAAGAAGATTTTACAAAAACCACAAGGACAACAACTGAATTTTTATTTATAGATTAATCGGCTTAATCTCAAAGATCATTTTCGTATTAGAAAGTGATGCCCTCAGAAAAAAATTTTTTATATCAGAAAAATTTTATCAGCTATCAATAGCCGATTAACCATTTAGGGGATAATGAGGAAGGACATAAAGTCTATGTAAATCATGTTGGTTCACTACAGTTATTTGAAGCTTGTAGAGGAATTGTACACAGTTGGATTGTAGTGATTATGGAGGACCTTGATCATTAGCAAAGAATTAAAAACAGGCAATTTTCTTTTGGTATTTAATAATATGGTTATTATTCACTTAAAATTTATTATTTCTATTTATTTCTATTTATTTTAATATTAAATAGAAAATTTATTATTACTATGTTTACTAAGGTAATCCACAAATTGGCTTTAACTTTACAAGGTTTTTTTCCAACAACAAAAATTTTTTTTATTACTGTATGATTGGATATACAGTCGGCACTCAATATAGTGAACCTACTATATAGTAAATCATATGATATAGTAATTTCCCATTTCATTACATAAAGTAACAAAGACTAATAAACTAATTATAATAATAATGTAGATGACATGCCAGTTATAAAATGCAACACTATTAATATCAATACATATTGCAATCACCCAACAATTCATGATCATGATAGCAGTGGCAATAGTAGTCCCAGTAGCAGTAGCAGTACCATAGCAGTAGCAGTATTGTTGCTAAAAATAATAATATTGGGAATAGTAATAATAACAATAAAAACAATAGGAACATTAATTAATAATAATAATAATACAAACATCAACAACAACAAAAAAAGCAACAACGATGAGGAAATGCAAAATTTCATAAAAATGATCACATTCAGCAAAAGCAAACATGTGTCATTGCATAAAATTTTTTTTCCTAGTAACAAATAATCATTTGTCACCATCACTACAAAATTGTAAAAGAAAATTTAATGAGGAACCACCATCACCTTATAACCTTTATTACAGCTCATCAACAATTACCACTTACACTCCCACAACTAGAACATTAATTTCTGCAAAAGATGTCTATATCACCCAGAGGAACAAAGGTCATAAACCAAATGAGTGCCCTAATATCCTTCCAAAGTACGTCGGCAAATTTTTTTATTGTTTAAGTTCCAACCACTACGCAAGTAGTTGCACAAGTATGGAAAAAGGTAAAATGATTTATATTTTCAAGGATGGTTATGTTCCTCCAGACTCTCTTTTAAATTTATTTATTTAAAAAAAAATTTATTTATACCCCGCAGGACTTCATTTTGTGAAAAAATACCAAACAGGGAATTAATTGACATTACCCACTGGGAGAAAAGACGTTTTTTTATTTATTTTTTCAAAAAAACTGCTTTTTATTTATTTTAAAAAAACCCCATTTTTATTTTTTTAAAAAACCCCGTTTTTTATTAATTTATTTATTTTTTTAAAAAAACCCCGTTTTTTTATTTATTTATTTATTTAATTTAATTTTTAATTTGTTAAAATTTATGTTATTTATATATGGCTTGAGGGTCAGATGGTGGTGCTGAGACGTTGTCTAGGGGCCATTTGGCGGTGTTGAGCCATATAAATATATGAATTTTTTTTTTTTTTAATTTTCTTAATTTAAAAAAATAAAGATTTTTTTGCCCTAATATTGTTAATATTGTTACTGGAATTAGAAATTGATAATAATAATCTTTTAGGCGAAAAATATAATTACTGATCCACATAACTATAAATTAAATTTATCAAAGATATTAATTAATCAGCTTCATTATCATGAGTTGGTTTCCTTTTGTGTCATATGAAAATCCCAATCTAGCAACAAATATCTTGACTTCACCTGTTTTCTTTGTATGTCCGTAAACAATTAATTGGCTAATTCAAATCCCAGTGAAGACTGATCGGTAAAAAAACGCGTTTTTTAATCTTTTTGTATAAATATGTAAATCATAAAAAATGTCAACGCATTAAAAGAAAGCGTGACGAAAAGATTAAACGAAAAAATACAGTTGATGATGGAAAATTTATTATAGAGAACATCCAAAAAAATATTTTATTACACGTTTACAATCATTTCGTTGACATTTGTTATATTAAAGTTATTTTGATTATATCGAGAGATATGGTCAAGAGAAGAGATAAGAAGAGAGCTATTTTTCAACCAAGTCGAAAACCAACCTTTAAATACATTTTCGAGTAGTACAATTTTATTTATTAGACTATTTCAAAGGTTTGTCGCACGATTGCTTTCAACTATATATTTAAATTCAAACCATTTTGTGTGTTTTTATTTTTAAATTCATGATTTTGATTGGTCAATCAACAATTGTGTGGGTTAATAGCGTTGTATAATGACAAAACGTAGTGTAAATTTGAATTTTATCTTGATCGCTTGAAGACGGACATGGACGTAGTGGCTGAATGTAGAAGGTCGAGTTCCATGCCTGAGGGGAATTTCTCTAAGAAAAAAACGGAAAAAAAATGGGGACAGTTGTCCTATTTATATGTTTTGGATTTAATAAAATAGACTATTGTCTTGACCTGAGTGATGTCTTTTTTTTGCTCTTTGTGACGAAGAAGACGCAAAACCCAACCTAAAATAAATGAATTTTTGTTCTTGCGTAACACAGCAAAGTAGATGTATAATGCATAAAAAAGCAAAAGCTCGCATTGCGTTCTCAGTTTTGAGCTTGTTTCTTTTTTGCGCTAAATTAAATGATAACTGCGCGCTATATGACAATTTTGATTGGTCACATAAATCATTCATACTAAAATCATGTGAGTGGTCATAATAAGAATTTTATTTAATGATAGTAATATTATTACATAATAGATATTAAAATATAAAAAAATAAAACAATAGATTTATTCCATTACATTGGGATTTCCTTTTAAAACTTCTTCACAATATTTCCTTAATATTGGATATTCTTGTCCATTCACTTGTTTAGCAAATTCTTTAAATTTTTGTAGGTTACTAGCTAAGATTGAACATAATTTGCATTCGAGATACTCTTTGAGATTTTTGATTTTCAATAAACTTGATAGCCTTAAGCATTCAAATAATTTATCTGTTTGAAAATCTTCATTTGGAAATACGCATTTAACTGCATTATCTAAAGTTTGTCCATATAAAACTCTAATAATTGTTCTGAGAATGTCCGGTTGAACATTATCTATTCCCGTTAATGAACATGTTGATATTGAGTTTAATTTACCTTCTTTTAAATAATCTTTGAAAAATTCAGAAGAAATTGCTAAAATATATAAATTTGCAGATATTTTATCGTTGTTGATTTCGAATGTAATATTATTAAAAATGGAATCTTTATCAAGATCATTTAATAAAGTTTCGTGAATTTTAAAATTGTTAATTAAATCAGAAGCTGATTCAAGAGAAGGTATTGGTGGTGGTTGTGGGATCTCCAAATCAATTACACCGACTAAATTTAAAAGCTTTGGATAATTCTCCAACAAATATTCAGCAATTGCTCTTTTTTCATCATCAATATCTGATCTAATTTTTTTAACCAGGTGCTTTCCTTCCACCCAATTATTAATTTCATATGGATCAGTGCCATTGAGTATAAGCTTTTGACCATTAAACGATGATTTCAGTAACTCATCCTCATCCTCATCTGCACCACATAATGATTCGAAATATGCATAAATTTTCTCGACTACTTCAAACAACAATTTTTTTTGGTGTCTCCATTTCTCTGATCTTGATAAGTCGTTTGCGATACGCTTCAAATGTTCAATAACTATTTCTATACCCGGTTTCTCGATTGATTGATAGGTTTTTAAAATCTTACCATGAGGTACAACTTTTTCCGAGTAAAAGAACTTTTGAGTCCAACACAATTCTAAATTTTTTTTTAAGGCCAAATTGTTGAAACATTCAAAAGCTTGTGATTCGCCTGATAATTCGGGCGTATGGTATTTGTATGGAGCATTTAAGGCGTCATTTGATGATATAGGAACAAACTTGATTCTGAACAGCGTATCTTCTTCAGGTATTAAGCCACTTTCAATATTAGTATATAAATAATCTAGTAGATTTTCCGATACTTGAACTAAATTTTTAATATCAGCGCTGCTTATGTCTTCTGTGCATGACAGAGTTTCTATTTCCTCGGCACATTTTATAAAAGTGTCTTCGTAATATAAATTATGAATAAATCCCATTGATTTAAGAACTTCCAAGGATTTTGGATTTGATTGCAATTCTGGATGCACAAATTTTTTTGAATATTGGAATAAATCTTTAAAAATTTTATTATTTGTGTCATACAAATCTCTTGCAAAATACAACTTTTCGAAAGTTATATTTGGTAAAAATGATTTGTTTTTAAGATAGTTAATCAAACTTGCATCACATTTCTGAAAAGTTGAATTTAAAATGTTCACGTATTTTCCTTTTAAATCTTCAGTCATATTTCTGCTTATGTATGGTAATATGTCATTTGTAATATATTCGAATAATGAACGTTCTCGAATACTGAAAATTTTTGCAGTCGATCTATCGCTATTCTTTAGCTTGACAAATCGAACGGCGGTATTCGTAGGAAAGTATGGAATGTCTTCAGGTAATAAATAAACATCACTAGATCTTTGATAAATCGGTGTTCTTGAATAAGTTCGCCAAATTGGAAGGTTTTTTAAAATTTGTTGTATTTCAAGAAGCTTTTCATTATAATTACTCAAATTGTATAATAAATTTGCTGAAATACAAGATCTAAGATAATCAATTTCATCTGCACTGAGCGAACTAATCCTATCATAACACTCATAATTCCTCAATGATATAATCAAGTTAATATTATTATGTTCCAATACATAACCTTCTAAAGACCTAGTTGCAATTCTTATATTAAGTTTAACCAAAATTTTGTTTAATTTGTCATCATATGATTTTGATAAAGGGTTTTTTCTTCTGGCCTCCTCTAAACTAATTAATTTATTAAACTTAAATTCGTCAGATTCCATTTCATCACAAATTTCAATCAGTGGGAATCCACTTAGGCCTAGATCAATCTTTTTGCTGTAATTGATAATACGCCATATTTCACCAAGCCAATATTTATTTGGTATTTCCAATGAACTTGGGTTGTAATCTATACAAGAATTTCTTGGTAAATCAGCTTCGAGAACTTTTGATATAGTGAAAGAATCAAAATTTTTAATTTCTGTAGAATTCTGAAATTTATCAGTTTGAAATTTATTAAATAAATCAGCCTCTTTAAGCTTATTAATTGATATAAAATGGCCAAGTTTTCCTTCTGGAAATAACTTCATTTGTTCATCACTTGTTATTGAAAAATAATCACCAAAAGTACCAAACGAATTATCAAATAATGGAACCAAGGAAACACCATTAAGATCATAGTTTTCATCTTTTAATATATAATGTAATAATTTAATTTTTAATTGATAACTATAACTATCATTTATGAAATTGTGTTCTTTTAAAACATCTTTAACTAATTTCGCGTTGACTTTCTTATATGGGATATTATAATCATCAAAACTCTTTATTTCTTCACTTTGTAATTTCACTACAGCTATGCCATTGTCCAAAAGATAATCAAAAACGACACTTTCAATTGAGTAATCTCCAATATAAGCTTCACTAAATCCAACAAATTTCCCGTTATCTAATTCACTCCAAAATACCTTATGATCTTTTTCGCTAATCAACTTTAAAACATTGCTTCCAAAAGAACTATAATATTTTGTAATCGGCCAATATTTAGAAATAATTTGATGATGCATTAATTTATGACTATTATTATTAATATTATCAATTAGAGATTTCATCGATCTGATATAAACAATTGGCAATATTTTATCAAGTATAAAATTATTCCAAACTGCTTTATCATCACGTATGCCTTGCCGTGCGATTTGTATATTATTTCTGTCTGATGATAATTCCCAGCCACATGAATTCAAATTAAATTTAAGCCCAGTTTTTAAAGGCAACGACAAGTTTGAATAGATCTTACCGACTAGATTTGTAGTTGGACTTCTTATTGATTCATAATCAAGTAATATAGCAATTCCGGATGAATGATTCAATTTATGTTCTTTTGAATATTTTTCTAAACTTTTGTCTTCGATTTCTTCATCCATGCCACTAGAACATATTAACCAATTGGTTGATACTTCAAATTTAGCACTGTCTTCAAAAAGTTTTGTTGATAAATAAAATGTACTAGAATATTTGCCAAGATCTGTTCTATAATTTTCATTGGAAATATTCGTTACATCTACTTTCCATTTTAATATTGGTGGAAAGGTTTTTCCCAATTTCTCGTAAACTTCCATTGATTTAATATTTCTAAGAAATATTAATTCGGATAACATCTGATCTCTATATTCCAATAATAATTCTTTGATTACGGAAATATTATCCATTTTTGTAGAAATTAAACTTTTGACTTTACTATTTCTAAGTGGTAATCTAAACAGTGTTCCAGGAAATGGCTTTTTAAATTGAAAAATAGGATCTTCATTGTTTAAAGCAAAGTTATCAAAAGGCTCAAATTGATCGTAAAATTGTTTGATCATATAACTATTGTCTATAAAATTAATTTTAATGCCTGGATAATTTTTTGGTAAATATTTTTTATGTGGATCAAATATGACAACATATTTGCCCGTAATGAAACTTGGTAAATCTGTGTAGTTGTAACAGGAATTAAATCCCAATCCAAATTTACCAATTTTTGTTAAATCACCCCATTTACTACCAGTACCCAGTTCACATATTTTGACCAAATCTTCTTCAGTAAAAGTCTTGTCATTGTAAATAAGAATCGAAGGCCCTTGCCAATGTTCTAAACCATTACCTTTCGATAATAATGATGCTTTTTCTGGGTCTTTATTATATTGACCTTTGTCAATTATTACTGAAAATCTTGTTGCTTTAGCGTCATCGGCATTTTGTAAAAATTCTTGAAAGACAACATCTTTACGATAATAATCCTATATAAATATTAATATAATCATTCGTGCATTAATAAAAATACACATGATTATACCATACCAAAAATTTAAGACTTGACAATATTATTTTAATATGTCAATCCTACAATTTTCAGTAAGATATTCTGTGAAAATTTAGTAGATAGATAGATACCTTAAGGATTTTGTTTAATCTATTAGTTAAACGTTCATGTTGCCCGAATTCCTCCAAACCAATGTCTGCATCATTTATAATGACTTCGCTATAATTCTTTATGGAGAGTTTATTTGTGACAACTTTAGGAATGCCATCATGAACCAATTTATTTAATATTTCATCCGATTGTATGAAGTTATTGGCCATGTCATTAAATAAAGCATCTTTTATTTTAACGAAACCATCATTCATATTTGGTATCAGCAATTCTTCGATAGCTAACAATTCTTCCTTCGTTAATGATGACTCCTTGGACGATTTGATTTCAGACAATCTTCCATAAAGTCGAGAAATTTCATTAATTTCAGTATCGTATTTAAATTTTAGTAGATGAATGTTATTATTATTAGATTTTGTCTCTCTAGCATTTTTGATTTCTTCAATTTTTTTATTAACCACATATATTATATATGTCACATCTGATTGATCTTTCACCTATTTTAAAAAAAAGTAAATAAATTATAATCATCACAAAAAAAAACCACATTTTTATGGTACAAGATTTTAACTTACTCCCATTTTTTTGAAAAATTTTTTATAATTACTTGAATTATCGTGAGATAATTGGACTATATATCCATCCACATTAAAACGATCAAAAAATAATTGACTTGTTTTGTAGAATTCTGAGCGGTTCAAAACCCAAGATTTATCTTTTAACTTTGACTTAAGCATTTCTAGATTAGAGTCTTTATCAATAACATCGTTAAAATGCTGATAAATAGATTGTATTTTTTTATCGAGCTTTTTTTTTTTATCAAAATCAAAATTATTTTTATTTTTATCACTATGATATCTTTCGATAGTTATTAATAATTCTTCGATTACTAGACTTATTGGTGGTAGCTCATTCCATCCAAGAATTGCTCTCAATTTATCATTTTCAACTTCATAACCAACGATTGGTTTAGCATGAAAAACCAACGACTCGTATTTTTTATCGCAACATTCGCTAGGTTTCTTATAAATTGTTATCTTAGAACCATTTCTTTCAGACTTGACTGCTGGTATCCAACTTTGGTTTATCATTAAGCTAAATAATTGGCTTTTATCTTCTGTTTGGCACATTTCAGCATAATTTCTATCAATATATTTTAATAAAGACAATGGTTTTCCATGCAACTCTTTGTCAAGTTGTTTTATTTTATCCAAATATAAATTCATTCTATCAATCAAATCCTTCACTGTTAAAGTTGATTTAGCTCCCAAGGCTTCTATTTTATTGAAATAATTTGGAACACTTTTGTTATTGATCGGATAAATAATTTCGTTCCTGAAGAATAGATTAATGAAATTTTTCGAGCTATCTTTAGTATATACTTCACTTGGTTTTTTGAAATCCTTCTCAAAATTACCCGTGTCACTAATTTTAACAATTCTAATTTCTTTTAATTTATCCAACATCCCAGCTTGTTTTGACACTAAACTTTCCCATCTATTGAAAATATCCGAAATTATTTGATCCACCTTAGATATAGGGGTAGCTTTGTCCAAGTACGGAAGCACATGATTAAAAAAGTATGTTTTTTGTTCTAATTTTGGAATCTTTAAGATATCTTCTAGTATAGGTCGAATATTTTTCGGACATATTATATTCCAAAACTTAACATCAGAACGTGTTATAATAGGCATAGGTTTCTTTTCCTCTTCATCCGGTAATAAGTAATTAATTGTATTGTTATTATTATTTGAGGAGCTTATGATACTTGTATTTGGTAAATTATTATTTAGTTCATTAAATATGCGAAGATGTTTAATAGTATTTTTTAAATCTTCTGAAATATCTTTTTCATTTCTTAATCCATCATTGATATAATTAACAATTATATCGATTTGTTTGGGATTAAAATCAACCTGCATATTATTTGGATTTAGAATATCCAAAACCTTGATTTTATCTTCATTAATATCAATTATATATTTTGTAATACTATATAATAATTCAAAAATTTTTTTTTTGATTAATTAATTAATTATTAAACAATAATATATATTCATGTGTTAAATGGGTTACTCACTTTTCCCATCTCGTGATTTTATTATGCTTTAAAAATCGATCCTCCAAAAAAACAACACCCAATAATTTAAAGATCTCGGCTGTTTCTCGAAGGCCGTTCTTGGTGTGATCGTATTTTAAGCATTTGGGTTCAGCACTTAATTTTCGCAAGTATGAAGTATTTCCCCTCCGAATTATCAAGAGATGTAGGTCTTTATAATACTTCAAATCTCTGTTTGTATCTACGAAATGATTCCAAATTTTGTAAACCAATTCAACCTGATCATTTGCTCGAATTTCAGGATTTACTGTTGAAGATCCAGTTATTGAATTTTTTAGGAAATCAGAAAAGGTGTTATCATCAAGAAAAGTAAAATTAATGTTACACTCATTTTTAACAATTTCACATAATCTATCCCAAATTCCTTTTTTAATTTCATTATCTACAACATCTTGCTTTTTGCTAATTAAATGTTGTTCATTTTTAAGGCAAAGGAATTTAGTTGGTTTATTACTTGGTCCAAAGGTTCCAAAAGTTTTGTCACTTAACGGAATTAAGGGTAAATTGTGTAAAGCGGTGACATCTTGTGTTTGGATGACATATTCCAATATTTCAATTTTGGAATCATAATCCCAATCATTTTGCCATTTATTTAAGTTTTTCAATAAATATTTACAAACAAAATCTGGTGTAATATATTTTATTAAGCTTTCGTGTTGAGAATTTTTTAAAGCCTCGATTATTGATTTTGGCATTTTGACAAACAATGGAAACCCAATACTCTCCAAAATTGTTGATATCTTTTCAAAATTTTTATAATTTTCATCAACCAAAAATCCATTTTTTAAAGATAGATAACCTTTGTTATTATTTAATTCAGAAATTGTTGAGGGACCACGATATATTTCTAAATCAGGACTTAAGAGCTTTATGACATCTTGCAATAATTCTTTCCATAGAATTGATCTAGAGCTTCCAGATGATGATTGATTGGCATTAATAGATGTTGGCCAAATTGTATAAATATCATCATTGTTAACATAGTTACGAGACTCCTTTAGAAGCGTCTCCCATGCATTTGGTATAAGGTGTGCGAAAAGATATTTGTTCCAATAAGCTCTTAATCTTGGCAAAGAGTCTTCGGACTTTAAGTTGAAAAAAAGGTTGAAGATTAGATATTATTATATTTATATACGCAATATTCACAAAAATTATAAAATCACCAACCAAATCATCATTAACAAAAGCCTCAATATTTCTTCTATTTTTACTAACAGCAAAATATCCGTTCACCAATATTGAAAATTCTTGAATAATCCCGGGTATTGGCAAAAAGCAAAATAAACCACCACTGTTCTCAGTCACATTATCGATTCTAACTGCAAGCGCAACATTTGGAACGAATTTATAGTCACGAATATATTTTTTAAATTTTTCATAAAAATGATTATTTGTTTCTTTAACATCGCCCAAGTAATTAATTATTAACCATTCGCTCGAAGAAGATCTGATTTCATCATCGACAAACGATTCAATTTTAAAATTTGCTTTGTAAATCAACTTAATACTCTCTGTGCTGACAGAGCTTTCTTTTTTTTCTACAGCAGATGGTAAGGATTTCATTATTTCTGGAATATCATTTGCAATTTTTCTTCTCTGATCTTTTATTTCGTCATTGTTTGTTAATTCAATTCTGTATAACAATTCTTTTTCTTTGCTGCCTTTTTTGATTTGATAAAATGATATTTGTTTAATTGATTTTAAGAAAATCAAGCAATATATATTATCGATATCATGAAATTTTTTAAACATTTGGAAAATTTCTTCTGGCTTGTAAATTTTTTTAGATATCTTAGATTCTTTTGCATCATCTTCTGTACGTAGAGGATATCTGAATATTGTGCCTTCGTAACCTCCATCTGATGATCTTGGAAAAGGGACAAAGTGGTCCGGATTATTTGATTGAAAATCCGAGTTAACATAATTAATTTTATATCCGCGATACTTCTCGTTAAAGTAGCCACGTTCATGTGGATCAAAAAAAATAAAATTTTCTCCACTTATAAGGAAAGGTGCATCAGTTAAATGGTAGACAGAGTTAAACCCAAGTCCCATGGCTTTTATAAAAAAAAAAAAAGCAAAAAAATTTATATATATTTGAATAATTTGATTTATCAATTAAAGGTTATAATCATTTTCTTACCGCCGATTTTATTATATTCTTGTTTCTTTACACTGTCTTCCAATCTTATTAATGACTGAAAATCCTCATCTCGAAATAAAGAATCATTCAGTGCCAACAGAGCCGGACCTTGATATCTGGAAAGGGCTTTATCATACAAACGTTCTACACCATAAGTATTATAATCCAAAATAAAGTCTTGACGAGTGCTTCCAGCATCATCAGAATTTTGAAGAATTTCCCGTAAGACTTGAGTGCCATCAGGATATTCCTCTAAAATTCTGTTTAAACGTGCTGTATAAGGTTGTTCCGGTTTATAACTTTCAATAACAAACTTTGAATTGTTATTAATATGCATGGCTTTTATTTTTTTTAAAAATAATAAATTTTTCGAAGACGAAGAATTTAAAAATGACAAAGGGGAAAAATTTAGCTTTAATATAAAAAAAACTATTGTACCTTAAATTGGTTAGATTTTCAATAAAACATGATCCAAATGGAGGGAAATTGGACTCCCATTTTCGTTACACGTTTAACAAAAAATGAATGGGCTTCTCTCACAAATTTGTAAAATAATATATATTTAAAATGAATGGATATTTTGGGTTTTTATTTAAATATATTTTAAAGTTTAACTGCCTAAATAAATGGCAGCGAAATGTCTATTACAATTACTAAAATAGGCTATTTTATATTTTTATTTAGTACTAATATAGGTATTAAAGTTTACTTTTTCACGCCATTCATGTTGTTAGGGAGTTAGAAACCAATTTGGCGATTGCGGATAAGTATTTTCTGGTTTTATTTGACAAGATGATATTGAATATATTTTATGTTCTTTAAATTCTTGGTAATTTCAAAAGTGCTTCATAATTAATATAAATAAATGACCAACAACTTGTCGAGTTTATCATCATCGCAATTGCCGCCGGTTGTGCAATGGAGCAATTTATACATTTAAAAATAATTACTAGATGTCATTTTCAATTGATATTTTAATGTCATTATGTCCTCTAGGGTTTTTATGGATCTTAACGTACGTATCGATAAATGGGTGAACAAACATCTTGATCATTCTATAAATATACAAATAGTTCCCGAGGTTCAAATTATGAACTCAACTATACGATAATGTCAATATTTCCAAGATGGCTCACGGCAAAAAAATACAAAAAGAATCTGTCAAGAACTCTTCTTGGTAAATCTCATAAATGGTTTCTTCTTTATCAATTATTTATTTGGAAACTTAAGTAATTTTCTCATCAAGATGCTTCTGGTGGTATTATGATTTTTTATGGATTCAATGGCAAATTCAGATTCATATCCTATGTCTAAATTTGCAAACAATGACTGTAACACAGAAAAACGGAATCGACGGATGTTACGTTACATGTTTATATAGAATTCTACAGGCAGTTTCCAAATTTCCAACACTGTTTGGGGAACGTTTCCTAGTGAAAATTGTATGACAAATTCCAGTTACTAGAAATTCATTAAAAGTTGATCAAATTGTTCCGAAAATCAGATATCTAGCTAGTAATGAATTAAACACCTTAGTATTAGCTTTATTAGTGTTTCCTCCAAAATCACATTTCTCCTATTGTCAATTTGATCTAGAAAACTCGCTTAGTAATAACACTGCGCTTACTTTCCTCTTCCCTCCAAATCGCATTTTTCCCTATGGTCAATTAGCTTTGGAAAAAACAATTTTACCCGTTTAGTAATAACACTGCGCTTACTTCCCTCGTATTATAATAATTTGCCTAATTTAGATATTAATAAATGTCAGTCCTCGCTCTCAATTATAACTCTACAAATTTAGATCATATTAACCTTAATACTAATCTGAAAAGTTTCGATTTAACTCAAACTGCTGTCAAAAGTAGAACTGGCTCGCCCAAGGAGAAAATGAAGTTCGCTGGACAAAGAAGAAAAACGCCAGTCAACAAGTTGAGACACAAGTTCAAAGCAACAACAGCGTGGGGATAGAAAGATTTCATCAAGCTGTTCCTATAGAAAAAGAAATTATAGTCATCAAAACTAGGGCTTATTGTTATAGTAATGAAGAGAGAGTTTACACCTTCATCCTCAATATTACTATTACCTTCTCACAAAAACCCTGTTGTTTCGGAAAATTTTAAATTTCGTCAATAAACAAATTTTGTATCAATTTGTTCTTATTATTGCTGCAAAAACAAGAACATAATTTTTAAAGGTGTGTTACGATTAATCATACTTTATTTGCTTTTAAATCTACCTATTTCTCATTAGCTCATTTCTGACTTACTTTTAAATTTACTGTTAAAATGTTTATGAATAGTAATACATTTATAAATTATAAATAGAAATAGTATAACTTCTCTAATGGAATATTGATACATCATGTTTGCGTATTTTGTCAAGGTTTTCTATTATTATTATTCTATTGTCACGAGTTGGTTCATCTGGACTATATGTTTAGAAGCTTCAATATATCCTAAAGCCGAGGCATAAATATTGCCATTATATAAATATCCTTTAAATTTGCTTAGAGCCTCTAACTTATCATATCTTTGCAATCAAAATTTAATGCAAAAATATTTGAATTATATCATTTGGAGTGTCATAGTATATTTCAAGTTCTATTTGCGCATTTTTCATTTCAACTTCTCAATAATTATAATTTATTAATATTAAATAAAAAACGTTTTGATTTAGAACAGTCCGTGACTACTTTTTTAGGCCCACCATTTAGGACTTCAATAAAATAATAATACATAATACATAAATCAATAATGACGGAAAAGATATTATACATTGGTATTGATATATATATCAAGACAAGGCTATGGGACTATCAAACGGTTAATTTGTCTAACAAACAAGATATAATACTATTTTCTTCAAATATATGTTTTGTTTTACGTAAGCAAATGAGGCTTTTTAAAAATATTGAAAGAAAAAATCGATTTTTTAGCAAATATATTCAGATAAGTTATGAAAAAATTGATAACTTGCTTTTTTCACAGTAGATTGATGAACTAAAATTAATTGGTTTAGAAAATAACAACCATTAAAATTTACAATTGGTTATTTATCAACACAAATATAAATCGATGAGATGGGGATTTACTAGGAAAATTGTGCTTCAACTAAAATTGGTTTTATTCAGATTAATCTAATAATATATAAGGATTATAAATGGTGAAATTTTAGTGCATGTTTTCTTAATAGTTAATATTAATAAAAAATGGGAATTGGGGCGACAATGAATATTTAATTGTTGATATCTACAAGTCTTTTGCCCCATATGAAGTCATGTGATAGGACACCTAAATATAATATTTTTACTAATATATGTAAATTTTCCTTGAAATAAATATGCCTTAAAGTATGCTACAGGAACCAGTGTTTTATAATTCATCATGTGAACTATAAAATGTATTAAATTCGTGTTGCCATTCCTTGGAACAGCCATGTGGTTCTCCCCAAGGCCGGCCACACCCCTTGCAAACTTTCATGCACCCTTGCGTAGCCGCGCCTTTATCACATTCAGTACAGCGCTTACGGCAACCACTAGTTCTAATGTGCGTCCAATTAGGTATATAGAGCTTCCCACAACAGGTCCATACAAGTTCCTGTTTCCAAAATTTAAGATAATTGACAACATCACTTATAATTGGGATGGAATCAACGAAACTAAATCCATCTATGGGTACCGGTTGTCCTGTATGAACAAGTTTCATGTTTGGATGTTTGTGAATTACCTCTGTATGACACGGATACTTTTTAGCCAGTCTTCTGTCAGTTTCCTTTCCACACTTGACGCACCTTGCATTTTTAAAAGTGATTTTTATTGGGTTTTCTGCATGATATTTTTCCTGTATTATCTTTTTGTAAACATCCAACAACTCCTCCTTCTTGTATATTCCTTGTTCATGTAATTCTTCAGTGTTAAAACGACTAACACGAGTTTTACTCAAACGATCATATAAATACACATGAATGAATGAAGTCTTAGCAAGCATATCTCTTCCCACATTTATGATATTGACAGCACTCTTGACAGCGTTTATACTTTGTATGTCAGTGTCAGAGCCTTCTCCTTTAATTATGACGATTACATTATTCCATATATTGCTTTTTGTTTCACTATTCATCGCAAGAGACTTGATGAATCTCGCTTGTCGCTGAAGAGATTGCGTTCCTCTGTCTCCTTTTTCCACGAACCAAAACACTGTATGAATTTCTGTGATATTTTTATCTTGCAATTTGGTCAGGATGTCAAAGATCGTTTCTCTGTCCTCCACTTTTATATCGCTGTCGTCAAACCCAGGAGTATCAATGTAGGTGTACTTATCACTACTGTGGATTGTCACATCCTTAGTCATTGAATCCGGATCATTGCCCACCTCTGCATTAAATCCGAATACTGTGGCGGTAAAGCTCTTGCCAAGGCCAGTTTTTCCAACCGCGATGATTCTTATCTGATATGATACACAGATAAAATATAGATTAGCAACGACTATATTTTTGTGCTATTTCAATAAGTAGCTTCTAGAGAAGCGTGCACTTCCAGAAAAAAAATTCTTTAATTGCCTACCACAGACACCGACGGGCTAACAATGTATAATAATAATAATAATAATAATTTTAAAAACATCTCTTTCGATAAATATTGTTTCATATATTTCTTTTATTTATCAATGCTAAGTTTTGGAATGAGTTTATTCTAATTTTTCAGTGTAGCATTTTTAGCAAAAAATATTTGATGAATTAATTTTCAAAGAGTAACTTTTTTTTTCAGAAGAGAGCCAAAAATAATTTGACAAAATATTCGATAGATCAAGTTTTAACCGGTAGAATGAATGTAATGTAACTACATCAGGAGAACAAGAAATGATATTTTAAGTGTGTTACAATATTTTGAATCCCACGACCAAATTTGATAATGATATTCTTTTAATGTTAAACTTTTTTGTTGTAAAGAACTTTATTTATTAATAAAAAAAAGGAAATAAATAAGTCAAATAAATCAAATGTATGTTAAAATATTCTATGAAAAAAAAAGTTGTTACATGAAATTTACTTAGCCAATTTTCAGTTTAAGAAAAAAGCAGCCGATAAGTTTTGAAGCTTGAGTCATGAACAATAAAACTCATCGGTTAAATTTTTTAAAATGATATAATTTTTTTTTGTTTTAGTATTTTGAAGTTGACCAATTGTTACTATATATA